CTCGCCTCGGCCGGGGCGCTGCCGCCTCCTCCCGCCGTGCCACACACCCCCGTTCTGACCGCCTTGCTCCGGTCTGTTTACATGCCAACTGATTTGCATTCCCTTTCCTTATCCTTGTCCTTTTCCCTTTCCTTCCCTTCCTTTCCCTTCCCCTTCCTCTTCCCGTTTTCCTTTCCCCTTCGCTTCAGTGGTTTCACACAGATTTTTCTCTGTACAGGTTTTCTCTTGTCAACAGTACTGTGTGCTGCTCTGTTCTGTTTGCCCACGATTTTCTGTGAGAGTGTGGTTTTTTTTAAGAAATATATATATATATATATAAACTATTATTTGTTACAAATTTGTACAAAATGGATCCATTAAATTTTTTGATTAATTAACCGGTTCGAATGACGTTTCTGTAAAATATCTCCTTACATTTCCCTCTTTCTGTATATAAATACATATATATATATTTCCTCCCCCCACCCAGTAGTCGCTAATAAAGAAAGGCCCAGGGGGGTACGATGATTGACTGTCCATTTTAGCTCCCACTGGTAATGACTTCTAATACCTAAACATGCCCGTCCCCACCCAGAGTGCGGCTCCTGTTGAACCGTGGGCGCTGAAGCTCCCGGGGGGGCGGTTCTGACGGAGTGGGGGGGACCATTCTCCCACGTCACTGCCAGGGCGGGGGCCGGGCAGCCCCCGGCAGAGCGGGGACCTGGGGCCGCTGCTCCACGGCTCTGCCCTGCCAACAGCCCCGAGGAGAAATGAACCGCTCCCATAACGCGGCTTTAGCATCTCCATCCTGTCCCAGAGTCTCAGACCTACAGGGTTCACTGCACCGGTTCAGAGATGGAAGGGAGGGGGGTAAAAAAATAAACAAACCCCAAAATAAATAAACAAACCTCTCCGCTGGGGTAGAAACTACCGAATGGTGCCGTTTTAATTACTTTAATGATGTTTAAGAATACCAGATAGTATAGGCAAATAGATAGCATAGGCTGCTGGAAAGGGTTTCAATGGCATGCGGAGAGCAGACAGAAGGCTGCTGTAACCGCATCCTCCCGTGTCTGACAGATCACCTCCACACCTAGGTGACCTGGGTTACTGTGTGTGCACAACTGTACACCCAAGCACATACACACGTTTGTGTTGATACCGAGAAATGTAAAAACGACAGGAAAATAAATAGCTGGTCAGTGACTAAAAACACCCCAATGCCCAGTGCTTTCCTTACTTATACACCCGTATTTTTCTCCCAAGGCACCAAGCCGGCGTTCCTTTCTTCTTTCGCCCAAACTCAACAACTTTTGTATTTAAACACCACGGATAGTGACAACAGCGTGTCGCTAACGGGAATAACTCAGGCAATCAGCTAGGTGAGAGCAATATGTGAAAGAGAAACCTAAACAGGGGAGAGTTGTGCCCCTCTCCAGCCCCTGAAACTTGTGTCATGGAAATAGAGAAGTGCAGAAGCCAGATGCGAGTAGGGAGGTTGTTTCCACCATGTCCTGAGATCTGTTTATTTCTTTATTTCTCTGTTTACAGAAGTATTTGGATGTGCAGGCTAATCACCTTTAATTTTTCATTTGCTTGTTACAGATGTCTACCCCGTTGCTCTCAAGGTAATCTAGACAGACGCAGCTGAAAGCCTGAATCTTATGCCTTAGACATCAAAGCAAGCTCGCACAAAGAAGTATTTCTTCACAACGGTGAATCTTCATGGTAAGTTAGGATTTCTATGGCAATAGGCAAGTCATACTTAAATAGTGAAAGGCGAAGTCTGGAGCCCGTCCAGTCTTTTCATTAAGGACATAATATTTACGTCTAACAGGCCCTTTTTCTTGTGTATACAAGTATATATTTTTGTTTGACGCGATCTAAATCATTTTCATTTAATTTCCGGTAAACAAAACCCACGCGAACAGGGCACTTGTTCCAGACCATAATAAAAATGGATAAGACTGTCAGGAAGAAAAGGCCCGCTTGAACCGTCGCCTCAGCTCACTTTTGTTTCTGCTTTCTGCCAGGATCAGAGAATGCATTTGGGATTTGAGGGCGAGTTTCTAAAGGCAAGGAAATGGTTTTTAAGGGGGGAAAGAAAAGGAGAAAGGTCTAATCAAGCTCGGGTTGTTCAAAGGGCCTGATTTTGGGGTTGAAAGTGTGAGTTTTATGGT